AGCCCAGGGGTTCAACCCACAATGGGCCCTCACCCCTTGATCACTAACTGAGAAAATGTCTTTACAACTGGATCTCATGGAGGTATTTCCTCGAGGAAGGCTCCTTTTTCTGTGATAACTCTAGCTTGTGTCAAGTTGACACACAAAACCAGCCAGTACAACTATAAATGTTAAATGTTTTATATATAGTTAGCTAAGTAAATGCACTGATAAAATTTATCTTTGTATGTGTGTGTGTGTTCACCATGCAACAAAATCTTAATCGGCATTTTAAACAGGTTCAGCTAATACTGAAATTTATAATTTCTAAAAAGTTCAGGCAATAATATAGATGTCTCCTTAGAGGTCTGCAAGAGTCTGACATATTCAGAGGCAGATGCTCACAGCTAGCCATTGAACTGATCATGGGGTTCCCAATGGAAGAGTTAGAATGAAGACTGTTGGAGCTGAAAGGGTTTGTGGCCCCATGAGGAGAGCAACAATGCGAACCAACCAGAGCTCCCAGGGTCTAAACCACCAGCCTGGGAGCACTTAGAGAGGGATCCATGGCTCCAGCTGTATATGTAAGGGTGAAGGGCCCTGTCAGGCATAGGTGGGAGAGGAGATCCTTGGTCTCATGAAGGCTGGACGCCACAATGGGTGGGAATTTGAGGGTGGAGAGGTGGGAGTGGCGGGGTAGGTAGGGGCACATCCGCAGAGAAGCAGGAGAAGGGGTGAGGGGATAGGGGGTTCCTGGGTGGGGGTAGGGGGGAATGAGGTAAGGGAATAACATATGAAATGTAAATAAAACATCCAATAATTAAAAAAAAAGTTCAGGCAAATGGCTATAGTGCAGAATAAAACCATCGATGCCTACAAAGAGTGCAAACTAAAGAAAATAATAGCCACCCCTCAGGTGAAGGATGGGTTACAGAGTTGGCTCTCTAGATATTGGAGCCAGAAAGAATGTGGCCATCTTCTGGCCGCTTGTCTCTAGGGATAAGCCTTTCCTGGTCTAAGGGAATGCTTCCCTTATCCTGGCTCTTGTGTCTTGGCCTTCACATTTATTAAAGATGGAGTCTCCGTACATAGCACTGACTGTCATAGAACTCACATAGGCTCCTGAGAGCTGTGATTGAAGGCACAAGCTTGGTACAGGGTATTTGAACCTGTTTCTAGTTAGGGTGTGCCTCAGCTTTTGAATACACTTTAACACTTCCGAGTGGAATACAGACACACCCCTAGTACTCAGCTTTAATCCCAAACAATGAAGGTAAAGTCAGTTTGTAGAAAGAAACACAGAAGCCGGGCGGTGGTGGCGCACGCCTTTAATCCCAGCACTTGGGAGGCAGAGACAGGCGGATTTCTGAGTTCGAGAGTTCAAGGCTAGCCTGGTCTACAGAGTGAGTTCCAGGACAGCCAAGGCTACACAGAGAAACCCTGTCTAGAAAAAAACAAAAGAAAGAAAGAAAGAAAGAAACACGGAGTTTGAAAGTGATGTCTAACTGAGTGGCAGAGAAAGACTTGACAGAATAGCATTCTCACAAGAAGAGAGAGGAAAGGGAAGCTATTTAAAGGAGAGAGGGACAGCACAGAAGACGAGAATCCAGTACAGGATACAGTAGAGTTCATGCAGAGCAGTAGAGTGGAACGGAGAGGGGGCAGCACAGAGAGGGAAAGTTTTACAGAGATAGACTGAAGAGAGAACAATCTAGATACAGGTAAAGACAGAACGAGAAAGGGAAGGAGCCTGAAGATTAGAAAAGATTGCCAGTTAGTTTGAGGCCAAGCCAAGCAATTCAGAGGCAGAGAGAAAAGCCAGATTGGATCAGCCCGCTGGGAATCTGAGCCAGAACAGCTGAGTTGAACCAGCCAGCCAGAGCTTGGGAAGAACCAGGAAGGGGTGAGCTTATTCAGCAGCAAGTTTCAGAGGCTGAAAACATTCTAGGTCTAGATTAGATTGTCCGGAGGCTAGAAGCTTCCAGGACTAGTCCTAGGTTAGCAGACAGAGGCAGTAATCCTTTAAGATCATAATTACAACAAGCCAATGAAAGTTACTTTCATATATGCCACCCAACTAGCCATCACATTCTGGCTGTCCTGGAACTCACTCTGTAGACCAGGCTGGCCTCGAACTCAGAAATCTGCCTGTCTCTGCCTCCCAAGTGCTGGAATTAAAGGTGTGCTCCACCACTGCCTGGCATAGCCATCACATTCTTGATAGTGGCAAAGGACTGCCTCCAAAGTGATGATGGTCTTCCAGACAGGCTCTTCACAAAGATTTCTATTTTTACCTTTTAATGGATGTGATGAAACCACAAATCACCATGATACCAGCCACATAGAGACTGACAAACCCATCCATCATTGCAATTTACTTAGCATATAATTAGATAATATTATAAAATATAATATATGATATTAGTTGCACAAGTGAATTAAATCAGAGTGGAAGCCATGCCTTTCCAGAATCCAAGAGAAAAATCACAGCCAACCAAAACCAGAGACCTGTTAGCAAAGG